TGACAGACTCAGGAAGCTGATGGCAGAAAGGCAGATCTCTGAGTGAATCTGTGATTCTGTGAGCAACTCAGCCTGCCTGCCTGCTTTGCCTGATTTTGGGTAAAAGTTGCTCTTTTTTAATTAAAAAAAAATTCAATATTGACATAAATATTTCTAATATTTACATACAAGCCATGCCCAGCCAGTCACATGACCACCAAGCCACACCCACAAATTAGGCCACACCCACATAACTGTTTAAGAAATTTGAATCCCACCCCTGCCTCTGTGTGTATGTGTGTGTGAGAGAGAGAGAGAGGGAGGGAGGGAGGTTTGATTCTTTCTCTCTGTCTCTGTCTCTGTCTCTGTCTCTCTCTCCCACCAACATCAGCAAGCCACCCTCTGTCAAAATTCATATTAGTGGTCCCTGGGATTTAAAACTATGAGTTTGGTGGTCCCTGGGGTCCAGAAATTTGGCAATCCGTGCCCCAAGTCATCTTGGTTGCTCTTCTCTGCACTCTTTCCGGAGTTATTCATACGGTGCAGGATTCCGGGTGTGGCCTTATCGAGGCCTTGCAAAGCGGTATCAACGCTCCACTTCTGCCTCGGTTGATGCAGCCCAGGGTTGCACCGGCCTTCTGGCCTGCGTCTGCGCCACACGGCTGGCTCTGCATGGGGCAAGGGGGGGTGGGGAGGTGACCCGGACGGAGAGCCCCCCCTCTCCCTCCCCCCCCCAAGAAAACCCTCGGCCTCCAGGGGAGGAGTCCGCCGACCTTCCTGCTTCTTGAGAAGGTCATCTTTCTCCGGGTTGGCAGGCAGCTCCGGCGGTTTGATCTGGGTGGCCAACTCGGGGTTGATGTCGTGGCTGTAGCTGATGTAGTACATGCGGCAGCTGCAGCGCGAGATGATGCGCTGGACCTGCTGCGTCGGCTGCACCTCGTGCGGCTGGTTCCAATCTGGCAGGGGGGGAGACAGGCAGCTGGGCGAGGGGAACGAGGCTCTCGGGCCACCGGCCAAGGGACCAGGACTTCTGAGGGCCCGGCAGGACGGCATCCCGGACCTGCTGGGCCGATCCGGTTGTGCCGCAAAGGGGGGGGGCGTGCTCACGGCTGGCCCACCCTCTCCTGCCGCAGGGCGTCCCTCGGGGCGTGGCGCACCCCCCTCCCCTCCCCCGTGCCAGTCCTGGGCAGGCTGTCTGCTGACCTGTGGTGGTGCTGACCATGCCGCCCACCGCTTGCCCGCTCTCCATCAGCTCCTGCACGGAGTCCAGGCTGCGCTGCGGATGCTCCTCGATGTTCTTGACCTGGGGAGGGGAAGGGGGGGTCAGCGAGGAGTGAGGGAGAGGGCCAGGCCCAGCCTGGTTGGGGTGTGTGTGTGTGTGTGTCTAGGATAGAGCCTGCCCTCTGCGGACAAAGAGTTCCCAATTCAGAAAAGCAGAGTTGGAAGGGACCTTAGAGGTCTTCTAGTCCAGCCCCCTGCTCAAACTTGGCCGCCCAGTCTCTTCTTAAAAAACCTCCAGTGACTGAGCTACCCGCCGCTTCTAAAGACAAGCTGTTCCACTGGTGGACTGTTCTCACTGTCAACGGGGATACAGACTACAGAATAACAGTCTGAAGGGACCTTGGAGGTCCTCTAGTCCAGCCTCTGCCCTAGGCAGGAATCCTTAATAACATTCTGGTCAAATGGCTGTCCAGTCTCTTCTTAAAAACTTCTGGTGGCCAGCAGTTCCACTGGTTAATTGTTCTCACTGTCAGAAAGTTTCTCGTTTCCAGGTCGAATCTCTCCTTGGTCAGTTTCCATCCATTCTTCCTTGTCTGGCCTTCAGGGACTTTAGAGAAAACAGCTTGACCCCCTCCTCCTCCTCTCTGGGGCAGCCCCTCCCTCAAATATTGGAAGATGCTCTCCTGTCTCCCCTGGTCCTTCTCTTCCCTGGACCAGCCAGGCCCATTTCCTGCAACCATCCATAGTATGTTTGAGCCTCCAGTCCCCTCATCCTCCTGGTTGCTCTTCTCTGCACTTTTCCTAGAGTCTCAACCTCTTTTTTATAGTGTGGTGACCAAAACTGGATGCTGGACTCTAGGGGTGGCCTTACTAAGGATGGATAGATAGATAGAGATGACAGGCTTGATACAGATGTATAGACACAAAGATGAAAGATAGATATGTTGATAGATTAGACAGGTAGGTAGGTAAGTATATAAATAGATGTGATAGGCAAACAGACATGATATAGATGTACAGACAGACACACAGAGACGATTGATATAGACAGACAGACAGAGACACAGATGATAGATGGAGAGAGTAGACTAGCCAGGCCCAGTTCATCGTATGTTTCATCCTCCAGTCCCCTCAATCCTCCTGGTTGCTCTTCTCTGCACATTTTTTCTCGAGTCTCAACCTCTTTTTTTATAGCGTGGTGATCAAAACTGCAGCAATGCAGGTGTGGCCTTACCGAGGCCTCATAAAGAGGCCAACCTCCCCCCCCCCCCGCCAGCAGCAGCTGCAGCCCAGCCTGGCTTATCCTCTGACCGGCAGAGCGGTCATCGGGCCCTACCTCCAGCCAGAGCTGGACGTCCTCCCGCTCGGAGGGGCTGCTCTCGGTGGTGGCGAAGTACTGCATGCCGTCCAGCAGGCACGTCCAGGAGGTCTTCTGCTTGAGGGTGTCCCCGTACCAGGCTGGGTGGTGCTGGCACTGGAGCAGCTGGGCTTTGGCAGCCGAGACAATCACGCAGCCCTCCGTCTCGGCCCCGCGGAGAACCATCTGGAAGGCAGACGGGGGGGGAGGGGGTGGAAGTCACGTGGGGCAGCCCTTCTGCAGAGGGTGCCAACTGGTAAAAGATCCCTATGCCCGTTTCCCAGGGGCCATGAGACAACCGGGTATGTTGCCCACCGAAAATCCTTTGTTGGAGAATGTGATGGATAACGCCCAGTCCATGAACGTGTTTTGTTGGAGAAGCTGAATTATTATACACCCAGAGGGGTGGGGGTGGGGGTGGAAGACAGGGTCGTAGGTGATTGGAAATGTATTATGTATACCGTATTTACCGGACTATAGAGCCCATCGGAATATATGCCGCACCCGCTAAATTTTAAAAGAAAAAAAAATATATTTTTACACATATTAGCCGCACTAGACTATAAGCCACAGAGATATATGCGTCGAGTGCGCCAAAAACTACCGGTAGCGTCTTCTTCTTCGCATTGACCTCTTGCGCCTGTCGCGTTGTTGCGCCCCCCTGATGGCAGTTAGCGAAGAAAAATCTATAGATAATCCGCGCGGTTGCACAAGCCGCAGGGTTCAAAGCGTGGGGGGGAAAAAGTAGCAGCTTATAGTCTGGTAAATATGGTAAATAGAAAAAAAATATTCAATAAAGCGTTATTTTTTTTAAAAAAAGGAAACGATGCGTCTCAGAGTCGGCTTCATACGGGGCAGTGCCGGCATGTCGCTCGAAGTTTTTGAAGTTTTCGCTCAAGATGTCAACTCATCAAACGTTCCTATGTCTGTTTTGGTCGTTGCCATAAAAAAAGAGGGGGTGGGGAAGGAGGAAGGAAATGTGGAAGAGGAGTGCAGCCGTTTGGAAGCGGAAGTACATTCCAACTCTTTATCTTTAAAAGGTTGTAACTAAACTACCGGAGCTTTTGCCCCGCGAATATATTGAATTGGAGAACGTGAACGAGGACAACCAGCCCGTGAAGGTGCCCAGTTGGAGGATCCGATTTATGACACCACCCAGTTTGGGGGGGGGTAAACAGGGTCACAGGGGGCTGTGAATGACGTGGGCCAGAGTTGGCTTCCCAAGGGCAGGGCCAGGATGTCGCCTCAATTAAATCCTTTGAAGTTTTTTGAAGTTTGGCTCGAGGATCACGATTTTATTAGGGCAAATCCCCACAGTCCTGACACAGGACTCTTCTGCCCAGCGGGGTGTGGGTTTTTTTTTTTTTTTGAACAGGTACTCGACTTACGACAGTTCATTTAGTGACTGTTGGAAGTTGCAACGGCACTGGCTGACCATTTTTCAGAGTTATGACGGTTGCAGCATCCTCGCGATCAACGTGATCAAAATTCGGGATGCTTGGCAACCGACTCGTACTTATGACAGTCGCAGCATCCTGGGGTCACGAGATTCCCCTTTTGAGACCTTCTGGCTTAACAACTGCCGTCATGCACTTCATAATTGTGGCCAGAAAGGTTGTAAAACGAGGTCAAGCTCCCTGAACAAATGTCTCACTTGACAGCAGGAATGCTGGGCTGCATTGTGGCCGTAAGTCAAGGACCACCTCTATTGCTTTTTTTTTATTTTAATTCCTTTAAAAAAAATAATTTTAATTTTTTCCCCCCTAAACTGTGTTTTTATTGTTTGTGGAGATCCTATGAGCAAATAGCGGCTATATAAATGTTCTAAATTTTAAAAAAAGTTTCTAAATAAAGGCACCGAACAGACTTTATGCTCATTGGCCACGTTCCGGGGGGGTTGCGTGCCACGTTTTTTAAATATTTTTGTTGGTTTCTGGCAGGTTTTTTTTTTTTTCTGGCTCAAAACCACCCACTGTATAAAATGGATGCAGCGAAGAGGCCCGGCGTCTGCTTAATGGTGGTGGATTCACTTAACAAGCACCAGGGAAAGGGTCGTAAAATGGGACAAGTGCGAATGGAGGCCTACTCAACATATACAAGGTCCTACAGACCCTAATTTTGGGCTCAATTACCGTCGTAAGTTGAGAGCTACCTGGATCAGAGGAGGTCAGCTTTTACTGGACCATCAGGCAGTGCGGAGCAGGGTGACTGGCCTTGGCTCCTTTAAGACCGGTGGACTTCAACTCCCAGAATTCCCTAGGCAGCAGAGCTGGCTGGGGAAACCTGGGGGTTGGAGTCCACCGGTCTCCAAGAAGAATTGGGCCCTGCACTCCAAGAACTTCAACTCCCATAATTCCACGGGCTGGCTGGGGAATTCTGGGGGTTGGAGTCCCCCGGTCTTAAAGGGGCCACCCCTCCCGCGGAGCAAAGACCTGGCAGTTGACGAGCTCAATCAGGCAGTTGCGGTTGAAGATGTCATCGGTCTGACAGGCTGCGATCCCGCACAGCTGCTCGCTGACCCCGGACTCCTCCTCGGTGAAAACCACAAACTTGTCCGTCTCCTCAATCAGCTTCTGCAACATGGAGGCCCCTGCAGGAAAAGAGGAGGAGTAGGAAGAGGATGGCGTGGCCCTTTCCGAGGCCCCATTTAGTGGCGAGGTAGGACGGCTCCTCCATCCTCCAAAATATTAAACAGACACACCGGGAGCCAGAAATGAACCTATTAAAACCCGGCCCCCTCCCCGGTAATTCTTCCTCAAGGATTGGCCACCCACCCCCGCCTCCAATTCTAGCGGCCCTCTTTTGTTCGGAATATGAGTCACCTAACAGCTGTTTGGGTTAGAAATATATAAACCAAGATAAACATTTTAAAACTGTATCTTTAAGGGAATGCAAAGCTGTAATTAGGTGTGGTTTCTCCAACGGCCATAAGATGGAGCCAGAAACCTGGGTTGCTTAGTCTTAGTCTCAGAAGTGAGTGAGTCTCTGTTTCCTTCTGTTGGAGAGTTTTGCCGTTCCTCTTTATTGACCGCTATTCTTGGATTTGATGTAAGTCTGATACTGAACTGTTTTTTGACACTGGACTTTTGATATCTGGATTATTCCTGGATTGAAAAAAACTGACTGATTTAACTATGAATGACTTTTGGACTGCCTATTCTGAACTTTGCTTAAATGTTTCTGGAACTAAAAACCTACATTTACTGTACAGTGCATCTGTGTGCTGTGTGTGTGTATTATTCCAACACTCCTCTCAAATACGTCTCCCTGTACGCGCTCATTCTCCTAACGGGGGATTACCTCAACCCCTTTCCTTTCTGTAAACTGCCCTCCTAAGGGGCTTCATACTCGGTGGGGCGCTGGGTGCTCTCCCCATCTAGGGAACCCCGTCAGTGCTAGAAAGGAGAGAGGGTTGCCTGGAGGCAGAGGAAGAGGAGGAGGAGGAGGACTGGGGGGTCCTGGGGGGCTCTCTGAGCTTAGTGGCTTCCTTGCAGACGTTTCATTACCCAGCTAGGGAACATCATCAGTAGTAGAAGGGAGTAGGTGGGTTGTGAAGAGGAGGAGGAAGAGGAGGAAGGAATGGTGGTAGAGAAGGAGACTTGATGGAGGGGGGAGGAGGAGGAGGAGGAGAACTATGGGGTCCTTGGTGTTCTCTGAGTTTGGTTTATTTCTTGCAGACGTTTCCTGACCCAACTAGGTAACATCATCAGTGCTAGAAGGGAGTTAGAGTAACCTCATCAGAGAGGGGATTTCTTTCCGTTTGCCGTCCCAGTTGTGGTAGGGCTGGGGTGCCCCCCTTCGGCAGTCCCTTGACCGGGGTACTGTTCTCTGATTGGACACTCTACGTCAACAGACAGCAACCCTCACTCTGATGTTGTTGCATAGCTGGGTTGTGAAAGGTCTGCAAGAAAACCACCCAGCTCAGAGAGCACCAAGGACCCCCACCCCAATCCCACCCAGAGCCCCGAATATTCTCTTCTACGGATAATGCCATCCACGCCCAACCACTCCTGGGCAGGCAGCCCTTTGCGTCTTCCTGATCCCACACAATGACCCCAGGGCTCAGGGCCAAGGGCGGCTTCACCTCCGGAGGGGCTTCGCTCCGTCCGACTGCTGCTCGCCGGCATGATGACCCGCAGGGGGGGCTGCTGGCTGGGGGGAGGGCCTCGCCTGGGCTTCTTGGTGGGCAGCTGGGGCCCGATCTTCAGGCCCCTCAGGGCCTCGGTGGAGAGGTTGCGCTTCAGCACCGCCGACTTCTTGTAGCCGTCGTAGAGGCCAAAGGCGATGTCCCGGTTGGTGGTGGTCCAGGAGGCCCGCAGGTCCACCAGATGCAGCTGGTGGGTGTGGAGCACGTCGTCCCCTTCCCGGAGCAGAACCTCCTGGGAACGGAAGAGGCAGGCTGAGCCACGCCCTGGTTTGGAGACTAAAAGAAACTTTGAAAACTTGTTTTGAAACTAAGAAAATCCTCAAATCTGTGTTAAAACTAAGACACTTTTAAAACCTCTCCTAAAATTACAAAACTCTTAAAACTTGTTTTACACAAAAAAAACTTTTAAAACTTGTTTTAAAACTAAAAAAAAAATTAAAACTTGTTTTAAAACTAAAAAGGTTTTAAAACCTGTTTTAAAAGTACAAGTTTTGAAACCTGTTTTAAAAGTACAAAACTTTTAAAACTTGTTTTAAACAAAAAAACTTTTAAAACTTGTTTTAAAACTAAAAAAATAAAATAAAACTTGTTTTAAAACTCAAAAGGTTTTAAAAGTACAAAAGTTTTGAAACCTGTTTTAAAAGTACAAAAGTTTTGAAACCTGTTTTAAAAGTACAAAAGTTTTAAAACCTTTTTTTAAACTAAAAACACTTTTAAACCCTGTTTTTAAACTAAAAAAAAAAGAAAAATCATTTGGCAGTATGGGGCCAAGCCAGTGGTGGGATTCTACCGGTTAGTAAAAAATGCAACCGTTCGGCCGAACTGGTATTTCTTTCTTTCTTTTTTCCCCCAACGATCAGCTGTTCCAACCACCAGATTCAAGTTTTCCCAGACGTGCGCCAGTGCGGCTTCTTCAATAAATTCCTACTTGGATGAACTTTGTCTCTGAGGGCTGAATGAGAACGCGGGAGTTTCATGGGAACGCTGACAATGTGTGTGTTGTGTGTGTTGTGTGTGTGCGTGCGTGTGCCCTCCTGGGAAGGCTACCTCCTCGGCCGCCGTGCGGAGGCTGTGGCGCTGGTAGGTGAGGGAGGAGAGGCTGAGCAGGTGGGTCTTCTTGACCAGGGAGGAGTCCAGGCGGTGGTCCGCGTTCTCCTCGCAGGAGGAGGCCATCAGGTGGACGTTCACCAGGCCCAGGTCGCTCACCATCTGCACGATGCTCCACTCGGAGATCAGGCGGCGCATCACCGTTCCGGCTGCAGGGAGGGAGGGAGGGGAAGGAGAGGGTCAGGGGCTGGGACGAGGGGGGGGAGAGGGAGCCCCTTCCAGGCCCTCAGGATCCGCACGCGGGCCCCCCGCCCGGCCCCCTTCGCTTACCCTGAGGGATCAGCCGCTGGGTGCCCCGGGTGAAGATGTGTCCCTGGCCGCACTCCAGTTGGATGCCACGCTGCTGGGCAAAGGAGGCCCAGTAGTGGATCTGGGGAGGGGGCAGAGGGGAGGGGGCACAGGGGAGGGGAGGGCAGCCCGTCAGCTGGAAGGCTCCGTCCCCGTTAGAGACCCCGGGGTGGGGGTCGGGGGGTGTCGGGCTGCTGCCCTAAAAATCCTCTCAGTACATTTCCCAAAGGAATAAAGTGTTTCTGAAGAAAGACAATTTCCGAAATAAACATGGGCCGTTTCTTGTCTAAGCGCATCCTCCAAATCCATCAGTACTTTTTTCGACAATAATCGTTTTTCCAGATAAAGAAATGGATGGTTTTTTTTCTCTGAACGAATGTAAATGATTCTAAGCAAATATTTCTCTAAAGAAACAAATTTTTCTAAACGGTGTTACAAAAAATTTTTTCTCTAAATAAATATGATTCCTGAATAAGAATTCTGAGTAAGTAAAGGAACGTTCTAAATAAAATAAATTTTTGAATGAATGGAGAGAGAAGGAAGGAAAGGAAAGAGAGAGAGAGAGAGAGAGAGAGAGAGAGAGAGAGAGAGAGAGAGAGAGAGAGAAAGAAAGAAAGAAAGAAAGAAAGAAAGAAAGAAAGAAAGAAAGAAAGAAAGGAGGGATGAAAGGAAAGAGAGAGAGAGAGAAAGAAAGAAAGAAAGAAAGAAAGAAAGAAAGAAAGAAAGAAAGAAAGAAAGGAAGGAAGGAAGGAAGGAAGGAAGGGGGCAGGAAAGGAAAGAGAGAGAGAAAAAGAAAGAAAGAAAGAAAGAAAGAAAGAAAGAAAGAAAGAAAGAAAGGAGGGAGGGAGGAAAGGAAAGAGAGAGAGAGAGAGAGAAAGAAAGAAAGAAAGAAAGGAGGGAGGGAGGGAGGAAGGAAAGGAAAGGAAAGAAAGAGAGAGAGAGAGAGAGAAAGAAAGGAGGGGGGAGGAAGGAAAGGAAAGAGAGAGAGAGAGAAAGAAGGAAGGAAGGAAGGAAGGAAGGAAGGAAGGAAGGAAGGAAGGGGGAGAGAAAGCCCAGAGGATGGACGGATCCCAGGAAGGTGGGAACACACAGCCTTGTACTTCGGGGGGGGGGGG